GAAATGATAGATTCAATTTATCATTAGGACTCATTGTGACGTTGATTGAAATAAATTGATACAGTTCACGATAAGATTTTTCAGAATAATAGCCTTGTCTTATAAATTATGCAGTTGCTTTTCCTGACACTCAAGTACAATATTAAGTCAACGGACAATGCTTTTGCATTGAAAGATAAAAACATTACCTCGACAAGAAGTGAAGTGACCAGGGCTGAGTGCAAAATTACAAGACCTGCTACTTATGCCTTGGTCACATTTGCTCAGATATTCAGTACGGCACCCAGCCGATTGTTCAAAATTGAATACAATATTGAACAAAACTATCAATCGGCCAGGTGCCGGCCGATGGACGGAGCAAATCTGACCCAGGCATAATTGGGTGTCCGAAATATTTTTGACTTTTTTTGCAATTTGTGTATGAACCTGTTTCATAGCCTGTTAAAAATCTTAGTGACATCATGACTATTGACAATTCGCCTCATGTGTTCCTTTCCCACTCTCCCTTTAATGGCAGACAATGAAATTGTTCTGTGTAGTATAGTTGTCCCACATTTTGCGTGTAAGTGTTTCATGACCTTATTCAATTTACTGAAAATAATACTCAATTTAGAGAAAAGAAACAATCTTCTTGAATGACAAATTCTAATTTTCCACCAAGGCAATTGTCCTCATTGTATAAAAAGTTGAACAAGAAGTCATATACCATAATGCAGTTCTACATGGTTTTGGATATTTCAACCAATGACATACCAGCATTTCTAAATTAAATTATCAAAGCCTCTGGGAACTTCATACCTCCTGTGTACTTCTAGTAATTGCCACAGTACCCATTGTAATACCAGTGTGAGTTGAAAATCGATCAACAAAAAATGAGTTTCAATCTTGACAAAAGATCTGACTTCCAAATTGGTTGGAAATCTTTCGAGGATAAACAATTTGGGTTATACATTGATTAAGTGACTCACGTCAGCCCATCTTTAAAATTTCACGTTGACCATTTTTTTCCTCGGCAAATGTTTTGTTGGATCGAAAACATGGCAAAACATCAACAGGCATGGAGTCAATACTCAGCTCAAATATAAAACGATAGCAGGCGATTCTACATGACACTTACAAAAACAGACACTTCTAAGACACAAACTCCATGAGTAAGGGCAATATTTCATATAGAGACCCCTGTCCAGGGACTTAAGACTGAGATCAAAGGCCTCATAAAAGTCCTCATTTTCATAACACAAATTATTTTCCCCAAAAGAAAGGAAAATAACAGTGTTATATCAGTGTATTGATCCGTCTTATCTCCGTGTCCAGCTTTCCAATTGCAACTGGTAGAGTACAGTTAAGGTCAAAAACATTTTTCTTACCCTGAACTTTCAATTAGTAGTATCACTACCCTCTGATTACCCTTTGGCTTTTACATTGACTCTCATCAACTGTTTAATCAATAAAATATAAATGTCGGCCCTGGCACTTTTGAACAAGGCATTTACATGCAAAATGTCACTACCTACCATTTCTTACAGACATTGACCACCAAATGCTGAACACCAAATGCTGAACACCAACTGATGACAGCCAAACACCAGCTGCCGAATGTTGACAGCTGAACACTGACTATCAAACACCAACTGCCAAATGCCAACCCCAGAATACCATCCCAAAAATAAGTTAGAGACTATAACAATATGTAACCATGGTTGTGATATTAAAACTGCATGATGTTTCAAAATGAAAGACCTTAGAGATGATGTTACTTAATCTAAAGATGATTCAATAAGATCTAAACAATCTTTGAGTCTCATGGCCTTTTATAAAGAGTTATTTCAAGAAAACTGTAACATGTTGCCTTATAGTCAGTGGACAATCCTTTTGAACAATCTGATTATGCTAAAACTTGTCCCTAGCAACTTATAACATATATTATATGAGAATACATATTTCATGACACAAAATATTATAACATGATTATATTACTTCAATTTATAATAAAAGCTACATATAATGAATAAGTTTATCTCAAAAGAACAAATTACGGTTTTGTCTGCTTTGCTTTTGAACATTTTTGAAGGGATTTATTTTTATCTAATTTGCAATGACATATTGACACCATATAGACACTCTAAAGGACATCTCTGCTAAAAACATATTGGAAAAAGATATCAGTTTTAGCGAAGCAGTCTAATCTAATTTATTCTCAGTTGAAACATGACTTGAATATTTCTCTTGAAATAAATGATCAATAAAAGTGATGTTGTTGTTACAACACAAAAATGGGAAAACTGTTCATTGAATTTCAGATACAGTTCAAGTGAATGACCTGAGTAGATCTGTGAGTGACCAATACAGTCGTTAGTAGCCACATCATTGACCACTGACCCCTCTCAATTTTATTCCACTCCATCCCCTGCCATTTTCCTATTCTCCCCCTATATCTCCAGTGATCTGCCTAGCATTAAAGCAAGTGAGCGGAGCACCCACCTGAGATTTTGTATTGAGGCTAGCACCCACCTGAAAATCCATTTGCACCCACTAAAAAATGAGAAAAATCACGAAAATGGGCATAATTTGACCAATTTTTGTAAAAATGAGAATTATGCACCCACTTGAGAAAAACCCTGTGGAGATCAGTGATCTCCATACCTAGGTAAGGCCCTGATTCTCTTTCTTTATTCTTCTGATTTATATTTCTTCAAACCTCATTCCCTACTCCGCCCCCCCCCCCAAATCCCTCTTTATTATTCATCTTTTACTTTTCCTCCATAAGAGGTCCTTGTGGCAGATCCATACTTCAACAAAGGGGGGCCAAATTCTAAGCTTGTGTGGAAAACAATTTTAGGCCCCTAAAACCAAAATTGGGCCCCATTTTTGAAAAATGGCCAAAAAGGCCCAATTTTGAGGCCCTACAAAATTTTGGGGCCCAAAAACTAAACAAAATTTCTGGGCCCACTGTACCCCATACCCCATGAGAGTACCATTTTTGTGTCTTTAGAATAGAGTAAAATCAACCTGAACTCAAAATAATTTTCATACTAATGCAACATCAATAAGTAAAACAAGTCACTGAATGTCACAATGTGCAAATGGCTACAAAAGTGTAACAAGTGTTACAGATATGGCTAATGTGATAGCCAGTCACAAAAAATGAAATCTGTAACAATATTTCAACATTCCTTTCTTGTAATCTCCCATACACAGATTAACATAAAATGTACAAAAATATGCAAAAATGAATAGCATACATTATCAATATGTATGCTATTCTTTGTGTACATAAATCTTTGCATACCAGTATAAAGTGAACATTACAATTTCTATATGTGCATCAATTCGCTAAAATATCCTTATAAATGTCCAAAATTTCAGCAGATATTATACAATTTCAAACTTCAACATCTACCCCATTCATTTCTACAATCCCCAATTCTTCCGTTTCACTTTTTTTTCCGTTTAACAAATAATAATCGCTGAGTTTTTATTCACGGCGCTGCTCATAAATCTCTTATAACTGGGACCTAACTTACTTATCTTGTGTAAGGCTTCAATTTCGACCACTCAAATGCGTCCCTGGGGAAACAGAGCTTGATATATTGTTGGACCAACAGTAATTTAAACTCATCCTTGCATAGTACAATGGCCTAATAGATAATACTTGGTTGGACGAAAACAGAATTGAGTACAGTTTTGATTTTTTCGAGAAAAAGGCTTCAATAAGGTTTTTATTTCCATTATTTTGATTTTGCAGAATTTAAAGAGATATTCCTCCTCTTCAAATTCCTGCTTGGGAGACAAAGGCAAAGGTTGAGTTATATTGCCCCTTTAAACCAAATAAAAATAGCCATCTTAAAATTAACCTAACACATCCAAAAAATGAGTTCTAGAATAACCAAAAACATTCCTGAAAATTTCAAATCAATTTGTCGAGCAATTTGTCTGGAAGTGAACAGACAAGAAAAATCAGACGCCAAACCACACTATTAACTGACAATGGATGCGTATGTTGCTAATTCTAATGAAATGACTGCATTAATGCATGCACTTCAGCAAAATACAGATTCTGAGTAATACAGAGTTCTTGAAGTGGTTGATATACCATGAATCATCAAAATGCTTTATACGATCCCATCATACAAAGATGGGAGGACTGCATCAATTGAATTATGGTATTCAATAGATCAAAAATGGGACAGATGTAAATGCTTAAAACGATTATTTAGCTCCTTTAATGGTTCATCAATAGAACAAGATTTTGTAAAGATGTCTCATTTAGGGTTGAAGACCAATACTATCAAAGACTACAGTGAGACCTGTCTTAGTGAACACCGCTCTCTAGCGAACACCTGTGTCTAGCACCTACTCCACTGACTTCTGTATAAAACCACAACTCTGTCGTGAACACCTACCTACAATGAACACATTTTTGTGGCTCCATATGTGTTAAATATATACAAGTTTTACTGAACATGCAATATGGGAATACCTCATATTTTTCTGAAGGAAGATGGGGTGACCAGACTGAATGTAATAGAGTACTTTTGACTATACATGGAATATCCTTCTTTTATTAGTTGAGATTCAATTCAACATAAGAAGTTATTACAATGTTGATTGAAATGCTATATATTAATGCAGGTTACCAATAGACTTTTCATGCTTTTTACAATTATGGCAGAAAATAATAAATTACACACCTGCTTTTCTTGATATCCAATAACAATTCCAAGAAAATTAACTATAGTCCGAAGATTGCATCTTTAAAAGGGCATAGCCAACCATGTTTAGGTTTTCCTTGAAATCATTTTAACTGTAAGTATAGTTATAATTTAACAGGCCACTGTGATCTTCTATTAATCAAGGTGCTATTATTGATTGATTAAACAATGTTTATATTGGAGTAAGATAGCAACAAGGAATAAGAATTTTCACATCATATGTAGTTTCCTCGAGGATGAAATATTTTGTGTAAGCTTGATTTCTAGGAACTATATATATATATATCTTCAATATATGGAAGAGGTTTCCGAATAATCCTTCATAGTTAGAAAATACATTTTGAAATACATGTCAGGAATTTCTCTATATGGAAAATATGCATGTACCAATAGCTATAGCGAGGTTTCTACAGAAACAATGTGATAATTTCTCAACATAACAATATTGAATTTGACAATATTTAAGAAGCGATGGGTCTGACTTACTCAATACATGATGTTGAGGACGCGATACTTTCCAGCAATCAACAAAGACTACAAGAAATTTTACAAAGCTCATGGTCTCACTTCTCATGTACAACATTACTGTTATGGGCCTGTGAGAATTCAAGGGAGCAGCATGTTGAAGTGAACTGCAGAATTTTCCAGACATTGATTGACAATGGGGCAGATATCAATACTGTTGACAAAGATGGAAAGACTGCATTAACGTACGCACTTCAGAAAAACACAACTGACTTCTTGAAGATATTAATCGATAATGGCGCAGATTTAAATATGACCAAATATGGGAATAAAACTGCTTTAATGTATGCCCTTGAGAGAAATAGAAGTGACTTTGCCAAGATGTTAATTGACAATGGCGTTGATATAAATGCAGCTATTGACAGAGATGGAAAGACTCCTTTAATGTTTGCGATCGGGATAAAGACAATTGACTTTGTGAAAATGTTAATTGACAATGGGGCAGATATCAATGCTGCAAATAAATATGGAGAAACTGCATTAATGCATGCACTTAAAAGAAACAGAAGTGACTCTGTAAAAATGCTGATTAACAATGGTGCAGATTTAAATATGGCTGATGAGGATGGGGCAACTGCACTGATGTACGCAATTGGGATAAATACAACCGACTTTGTGAGGATGTTAGTCGACAATGGTGCAAATGTGAATGCTGCTGACCATGATTGGAAGACTGTACTGATGTTTGCACTTGAGAGAAATGCAGAAAATTTAGCTATTCTTACACTGATTGAGAATGGTGCAGATGTGAATGCTACTAACAAAGATGGAAAGACTGCATTAATGTATGGAGGAAAAAGGTCAATTCATGGCATGCAGCTGTTGATTGACAACGGAGCAGATGTTAATATCACTAACAACGATGATATGACTGCACTGATGTTTGCAATTGGTTACGATACAGCCAAGCTCCTAATTGACAATGGTGCAGATGTAAATGCTGCTGACAAACATGGGATGACTGCATTAATGTTTGAACTTTGGAAAAATTCTCAAGGTATGCAGCTGTTGATCGATAAAGGAGCAGATATAGATGCTATCAATAAACATGGGAGAACTGCATTAACGCTTGTAGTAGAGGTAGATGCTAAGGGAACAGATATAGATGAGACATATGCAGATGTAGATGTGACACATACAGATGTGACCCAAACAGATGTAGATGTGACACATGCAGAAATGAACATTACAGGAAATGTGAAACATTGGTCCAAGTTTGGACCATTAATGCCTGGAGATAAAGCCAAGTATTTAGAAATCTTGATAGACAATAGAGCAGATATAAGTGCTCTTAATAAAGATTCTATCTACCCTTACATCAGTAACAAAACAATACAGTTTTGCATGGATGTAACATTCGGTGCTGAACATATCAACCAGGAAGAGTTTACTGCAATATGTGAAGATCATCATATCAACGACAGAAGTAAATTTGAATTAGTTGATCTTATTCAAAGCAGGAAAACCAGCCTTAAACACCAGGCAAGGATGTATATATTGAAAACAAAAGGGATGGATTGTAATGCATATGTGGATCTCATAAATTGTTTAATCAATGAAGGACACTTGGCAGTCGGGTTGAAACACTTTATGATGTTTAAAAGTGAAGTACAAGATATGATGTCACTATTCAAAGATTAATGTGATGTGGAGAAATAGTGGCCATTTTGAATTAAGCGTCCATCTTGAAAGTTTCTTCATGAACCATGTTTCAACATATAGCAATTGATATTTGAGTTATTAGTGATTGTATTTACAAAAAGTGGTGGCCATTTTGAAATTCAGTGGCCATCTTGAAAATTTCTTCTGGAGCAGAGGTCTTTCACCCATAAGTCATAAGCCTAAAAAATGTGAACCAAATTCATAGACCAAACGAATGGACAGCTTCTCTATATCCCTCTTAAACTTCGTTTGGTGGAATAATTAACTTGTGGATTGCAGCAGTGATAGCCAGTGTGGTTAAAACAGTACTAAAGGATGGATCGTAATGGTGATCACCAGTCTGATATATAGGAGATCTAACCATTAGAAAACCAATTTGCTAAATGACTAAATCATGCCGCAATATTTAATTAAATCACCAAGTAGAGCGAATTCTGCAATTATCACTGTAAATAATTAATGACATTGTCTGGGAAAAATGTCAACAAGCTCACAATTTGAAAGAGAGAATTAAGAAGGGAGACTAGAAAAACAGCAACTCCACGACCAACGGTTGGAAATTCCAATAAAAAACGTCAAATATGTTGACATTAATCATTATTAAAGATTATTTCCAAAAGACATTTAGTTATTCATGATATAACTTATTCTTAAGCTAGGTATTTTGTATTTAGAATGAAATCTCAAAAAGGTTTCCTGTGCCTGTGGGGTCATGGCAACAGACGCTCATCCAAGGGCCTCCTATCCCATCACTAATACATGTACAGGGTGTCCAAAAAAAACAGGACCGTAAGAAAGTTGAATAACTCGGTCAATTTTGCATATTTTGCCTTGAAATTTCAGAATTATTTAGTTCATTCAATGTGAATTTTGTTGTGAAAGTTTGATAATAATCTGTTAATTAAGTCAAAAACTACAGCTCCTAACAAAACATGCCCCAAATGTGCAAATCTCATCTCTATGCACAATTCAATCCGGCGAACAAAGCTGTTGATGATCCTCCTCCACACATTTCTTTCTGAATGGACAAGTTTGTTCCAAGAACAATTGCTACTGGGGCTTACATCCTTCTGATGAAGTGTTACAGCATCCATTGCATTCTGAACAATGCACTCCCTGGGTGGCAATGAGGAAACATGGAATCATTAGTCCCTTTTGGTTCGAAGGTGACTGGGGACTTGGTATCACCATGAACAAGGACCAGTAAGTTCTCACCAAGTTTTGGAGGTCACTAAGCACCAGAAGGGACATCTAAGGAGATAATTAAGCAGTGGTTTCAACAAGCCAATTCCACCCCAACACTGCAAATGATATGCTGAAATGGTTTAGGCAATGCTTTGGTGGTCAGCTCATCAGTTGCAGAACGCAAACCATATTCGCCTGATCTAAATCCCCCAAATTTTTATCTTTGAGGATTTCTCAAAGCCAATGTGTATACTGACAGGCCCCTAACAATCTTAAGAGGGCAATAACTACCCCAATATTTACCATACACATTAATGTGTATAGGTAAGGGTCATTAACAACTTTGTTCGCAGGGTTAGTTTGTGCATAGAGAGGAGAAGTGCCCACTTTGAGCATGTTTTGTAAAGGACTGTAGTTTTTGACACAATAACCAGATTATCATCAAACTTTCAGAACAAAATTCACATTGAATGAACTAAATAATTCTCAAATTTCAAGGCAAAATATGCAAAATTGATTGAGTTATTCAACTTTCTTACGGTCCTGTTTTTTTTTGGACACCCTGTACATTTATTGATGATGTCACATAAAAAGCCATTGCATGCAACAAAGAGAACACTGAGCTTACTTATTAATCTAGCTCAATGAACTGTGTGAATAGAATGGCACCAAGATCACAAACAGTCTCGATTGTGGAATTTCTGGAATCTCTAACAACAGGCAGAAAGTAAAAATGAGCAGACAACAAGTAATTCTATAGGAAATTATAATTCGAACATAGAGACAGTTGCTAGATTCTTCAAAAGAACAGACAATGTTGGTGAAAACAACTGAAAACATCATCTGTTGTTTGCTGCTAATAAAACCTGTGATCATGAAGACAAATAACACCCTTCCTCAAATTCCTTCACTAACAATCACATATAAGAATTCTATTCCATTAAGAAAAAACTTCAAGCATTCACAGTGCGTGAAATAAGGATTTTTTTAACCTAGACATTTTGGCAGGCCAGCCAGATTTTAACCAGCCATATCATTTTTTCTCAGGCCAATTTTTTGCAGCCTGTTTCTTACTTCTCTGGCCAAAAATTTCATTTTCCATATTTCTCCACAACCACTCTAAAATGAGATTTAGTTTAGTACAATATTAACAAAGTAAAACTAATTCCATTGCATGTCATGTATCATTCACTATACTGTACTTGATGACTTAACCAACAGCCTGGGTGTGTTGATTCCCCCCTAGATTCACCTTACAAAAACATGAGGAACGTGTACATATTGATCAAACTAAATTGTACTGATTTTGGTCGGTTTAGAATTGCTCTCAGAAGCTTCAAGGTATTCAAAAACACATACTATGTGCACAGACTCCACTAACAGACTAAAATTCAAGGTATATGTTAGAGGTGTCACGGTCCAAATAAATTTCGGTACGGTACGGAACGGTACAAATGGTCTCGGGACCCGATACTTTCGAGACAGGACGGGACAGAACATTAAAAATGATTCAATGTCTGATGATGACAGTTTCACTTTCAGTTTCACTTTTCAAAATCATATTCAGAAATACGTCAATTAAAATCGAATATAAAGCATCTGCCGTGAATGTGATCGGCATTTCACATAGTATGCATGGTGAACTATCACCAATTCGTTTACCTTGTGATATCGGAGTCCCAAAATACTTCCAAACTGCCGACTTTTTGGACTTAGATGCCGGCTCGATTTTTCAATTTCTTTTCTACATCCGGCATACTGATAATGCACTCGATTTGCGAACGACGATGAAGAAATGAGTCATCCATAGCCAATCAAAATCACCGTAATTTCAACAAACAACAACAGCCAATCAAAAGTCACGTTATATCTTGGGCTTCAGTATGAAAACAAAAATATTTGAAATTTTTTTAAATCTTCAACAAAAGTCATGGAATAAGCCGAAATCGCGGGGAATTCGGAGGATTTCCGGACTGAAATGTGAGTTCTATTCATGGGCAATCTAACGAATGCCACAAATGTCTGGCAGGCCAAAATGTCTGGGTGTTTTTATCAAAACAAGCCATCTATAATTTTGTAAGGCCAATGGCCGATGTCGGACGTCTATTTCGCGCACTGCATTCAGTATTCTTCAGAAGTTTGTGTCAATATTTTCTGACATGTTCGAATCACTTTGATATGAGAAGTAGCTGTGGCTTAACACTAGAATGATTTAATTGAACATATGTGTACTGATAGGGGCCTTGTGCTAAGTTCAACAAAAAAGAGTTTTGTAGTTTTGTATAGAGGGAGGGGGACATACTTGATATTTACTAGATGATTTATTCTAAAATATTTATTCAAGACTTAATAACATATTTTTGGTAGCCCCATTGCCCAATCCAAAAATTCTCAAAAATGAAGCAATTGGTAATTTTTGTGTACTTTTCTTTTGTGATTTCATGTATTTCATGTCATGTTAAGTTATGGAGGAAGATGTAGTGAAAAGGCCTACTGATGTTATGATACAGACAAAAAACTAACGGTTTTAGCTGTTCCTAAACTTTTGAGATGTCCCCTTCCCCCAAGGCTTTTTACCATATCATCCTACGAATCTGGCTATCTGTTAAAACCATGCTGATCTCCAGATCAATTTGAAATTTTTCTGTCAAAATACATTCAAAATGTTTATACCAAACCCATTTCTTCCAGCATTGTGTAATTGAATAAACAAACAGGCAAGATCTAGGTTAGGTTTAGAAGAAACTTAGCTAGCAGTTCCAAGCCAATAAAGAGAACAGAATAAATTTCTCAAAAAGTCAGAGAAATATTTACTGAAAATGTATTTCCTTTTTCAAAATATCCCTAGATAGCAGATGCAATTTCTGATACTAATGGGCCCCTCATACATGAACGAATCGATTAAACCCAGCCTTGCAAATTGGGTAAATTGTCAATTCTGGCAATTGGGAACCACAACTGAAACACCTTTTCATTGGCTATTGTAAGAAATAAAGCATTACAGAAACAGAATCAAGAATTGGCACATTGGCACAAAAATTGGCAAAATTCAATGAATCATATATAGATCTAGTTTTACCTGTGTAAGCATACTGGACTAAGGCAGTTAAGGCATCGGCATCTACATCAATCATTTCAACCTCATCAGAAGTCGCTTCTTTCACGTCACTTGTAAACATTGCATCAAAATAATCCGATGCGCTACTTAGCACCAATTTATGAGCAGGAATTCGTCGTGGTCCAACGACCAATACAACGTCACATAATTGTTTTTTCAGTACGTAGTTTTCCATTTTCTTTATCATTTTTTCTGAGTGGTTTATGGAATGGTAAGATTCGTCGGGCGGTGACTCAGCATCCATTTTGATACCCGAAGATGATGTAGAGGCGCCACAGTTGTAGTTACTGTAACTATGATGCACAAGGTACCTGGAAATACAAATTGAAAGAAATTAATATATCTAATAGGGCTTCAATCAACGAGATTAGGTATGAGGCACAACACCATATAAATACTTAATGCATATAATCAACAGTTGTCAATATGTAGGTCAAATACTCAATGTTGATTGGTTCATTAACAGTCAACAATACTGACTATTGACCAGTATACTTATACTGTTGACTGCTAGTAAAATACTGCTGAATTGCTATGGGTACACTGTTCAATCCTAAAAAATAGACCATAAACCATCTTTGACTTCCCTTTAATTCATGACATACAAGAATAATTGAACATTCATGTATAACTCATAAGCACACTACCCTGGGTTTATGGGTAATACACTGCCCTCTGATTAAGCAGACAGTTTAACCGCCTGTCCAATGTTTCCTTATCAAAATACATTTTGGCTAAAAAATGAATGACCTATTGTCATTGTGTGATCTACAGCCTTACTATCTCTTGAAGTATGAGGCTCTGTCAAGCATTATATAAAGACTGGACTGATAAATTTGAATGCAAATGACCAACTCAGAATGACTAAAGCTCTCATGTTTATAAGTCATATAAGATTATCAGCAGAATATACCACTCTTAGAAAGGTCTTTGGACTTGCAATAACATACTATATGGAAATAGTATATGGAAATTGCAAACTCTGATTGGCTCAGTGAGTTCAGAAATTAATCGGTCGTGTGAAGAGTGTAAGCAAAGAAGTCAACTCTTAGAAAGAGTAATACAAAACCATTCCTTCCACACATAATAGAATCCAAAGAACCATTAAATTTACACAAGACTAATTTTCCAACGAGAAAATAATGAAGAACTGAAAATCTATAAATACAAGGCCGCTGAGCCCCAGGCAGTGTTGTTTTCTTATAGCTGATCATAGAAAATTGATATTCAACACTTGTAGTTAAAAGATCCTGTTTTAACTCTCGTTGAAT